GATTAAAAAAAATAAAATACTGTGCAAATGGTGACACTTCACAGGAGAAGTTGGTACAATGTTCAGGTGAAAGAAGCTTAAACCAAGAATTCGGGGAAGTACATTTAATGTTTACTGTGATGCTGTCTCTGAATGTCTTTTATATTTTGAAAAAAAAAATGCTAAAAATTTCCTGTACACAAGGGAAGGAACGTGGGAGAAAAGATCCTTGTAGTTTCTCAATAAGTATTAACAAATGTTTATATAATATCATTTTAATATCTAGTAGATGCTTATTGAATGGAACATTCCCCATTTATTCCCATATATTTTTCTAATATAATGGGAAATTGATTTATTTCTGAACTAGAAGATTCATAAATATTTTAATTTTCATGATCCAGAAAAATTTTTCACAGCTGTCACAATGAATTTTTTTTCTTCTGCCAATATGCTGCAGTGGTTAAATATGCAAGAGAAGGCTTTGTCATAATTTTAAAATATTGCTCTGATGAACTCAGCAAAATTTCACTCAAATTATGAACAGTGGCATTTCTCATGCTCTGTTTAGAAATAGTGAAGTGTGTTCTACAATCAGAGAAAGTTAAAATAAAAGCAACCAAATAATTCACTGTAGTGAATACATTCTACTTATAATATGAATAGATGATTTTTTAAGACTTTATAAATATTTAGCATTTATCATAAATGGTATTAACAGCGTTTATTAGTGTCTAGAATGTGTTTGGTTCTCCCGGTTTTCTTCAGATATTTATAACTACACCTTAAACTTATTGAATTATGTAGGGAAATTTTAATATAAGAACCTAAAATTTGGTGACTGAAATTTGATTTATATTTTATAGCACAATTAAGTTCTAGAATCCTTAGCTTAAAAAATGTCCTTTGAAGTATATTGGGGTAAATGTCATTGGTAAAAACAGCTGAGCCATTCTCCAAGATTTTTATAGAGATGACTGCCTGATTTTACTTTCATGTATTTTTAGGGTCATGAATTTTAAAGACTAATTTTCATTTTTCAAAGGACAGGGTGTTTCATGTTTTGCAGAAAGTGCAATGATTGACATTTTACCTGGTGAAACATCAGATATGGAAAAAAGCAACTTTTCTCCTAAAGCCGCATTTCAGCATTTATACAATCCAAAGTTATTTTGTCTTGACATCTTTGTATCTTTGCAGTTCAGTGACCTAGGAACAGTTGTGAAGAGCCGTGGAAGAATTTGGTGATGCTTGGGTCACATTGTACTTTCCATCCACCCTTACTAGTCTTACTGCCATTTTGTACCATTGCTTATTTGGGGAATAAGATGGTTACTTGTTCCTTCATTGGTCACCTGCAGTGAATAAGATTGTTATTTGCACAGATTTATTTCCTTTGTGTATTAATACATAATTTTTAAAAAAGATTTATTTATCCGTTTGAGAGAGAGACAAATCTCAAGTAGACTTGCGCTAATCGCAGAGTCCCACATGGGGCTGGATCACACAACCTTTAGGTTACAACCAGAACTGAAGCCAAGAGTCAGAGGGTTAACTGACTGACCCACCCAGGTGCCCTAATATGTAATTTATAGCCTGCAACAGGACAATATTGAATTGATTAGCCAAACAGGGACACTTGAGTGGGGGAGGGGGAAGGCATTCATTATTATGCTAGGACAACAGGCATAAATTGTGGCAACCCAGATATGTGGTTATCCTACCCATAGAAGATTTTCTATTCCAGGAAAGTGTTTTCCGGGGAAGAATTAGGGTACCCTTGGAAGTAGGTGGAAGGGTTCCCCGACCAAGTCCCAAACCAAGAATTTGGAACCTTTAAGCAAATTTCAGTGGTCAGATATGTACTTTGAGTCTTGTGTATTTCTGGACTCTACCAACTGACTGAGAAGAATTCTGAGGTCACTTAACAAGTGGCAAGGTTCATAGAGAACCAAGGAACTAGACCAGAGGATTTTCCGGATTCCTGGGGAGACCGTCACAGCTCATCATTGGTGCTTAAGTGTATGTCAAAAAACAGAGACTCTTCTTTGAGGAGTGTCAGTAGTATCGTATGAACCCTGTAGGCAGAGCTGAGTAAAGAAGAACACATCCAGAAGCAGTAGATTTTCAGTTAGGTGTATGGGTGAGTGGCATTTCCTTGCATATTGATTCACCATTAGGTGATACACAACATCTTTTCCTTATTATACTGTACTTAACTCATGTTTATTTTGGGGGAAACCCATTTAAGTGAGAATACAGTATTTGCTTATAAAGGAAAAATAATGTATCCATTATATGACTGTCTAAATCAGCATAGCTCTGAGATCTAAATGTTCCCATGTAGAGAAAATTTAAGTGGTAGTGTTACTTCATAGTGCACTTTAGTATTTTAAAAGTTGACATGTTAGTGATGAACTATCTGGTCATGAAACCAGGCATCCCTGTTTATAGAAATCTGAAGATCCTTTGATTATTAAGATATAGTGAGCTTTTGCAGTATACTGGTCAATTTGGTCATATTATTAATTTAAAAAATATTTATTATTTATAGAGCGAGCAATCTGGAGGAGGTGCAGAGGAGAGAGGGAGAGAGAGAAGCTCAAGCCGACTCTGAGCCTGACATGGGTCTCGATCTCATGACTCAGAGGTCATGACCTGAGCCAAAATCAAGAGTTCGACGCTTAAATGACTGAGCCCCTTAGATGCTTGGATTTGGTCATATTATTGAAAGTTGAAAATAATGATTAGGAGCAGTTTTAAGGTGATAGAATCTCTGGTTTTGGGAGGCTTCACAGTATGTAAGCTTTGGTGTCAGATATTCCAAAGCCTAGATGTTCCATTTACTAAATTTACCACAAACAAGTTGCCTAGAGTAGCTTTTCTCTTTGGGGGATGATTACCCTTACTGTGCTGGGATTTGAAAGGACTAATGGTAATATATCCAAAAAACCTGACACGTACTGGGAGCTTCTGGTAACATGTCTGTTGTTCTTATTACTAAAGATAATAGTGTTCTGATCCTAGGGAGCTTGCTAAAACTTCAGGTTTGTTAAAACCTTGGGGGTATTCTAACCAAGAGTTATTTCATCTCCCTTCACCTGGTATTATAAAAAAGCTTATGCATGGAAAGGAATATGTAGAAATAAATTTTTATGTTACGTTAATTTATTCCCCAAGCTGTTATCTAAGATAGTCTGATACTCTGATTCTTATTTTAGCCAAAGGGAATTTAAGCACATAAAAATTGATGTCTCAAAAGCACAAATCCTGTTGTTAGAATTTTTAGTTTATGGCCCAATGTTGCTCCTTTTTTCTCGCAAATTTGGTGGCAAAGCTGGTAAGGATTCTGTGAGGCTAACTAACCCCAGACACTGACTTAATCTAGAACTTATTTTTTTTTTTAAGTTATTTCATTTTTTTTCAAGTTTTTATATAAATTCTAGTCACCGTTCAGTGTTAAATTAGTTTCAGGTGTAGAATTTAGTGCCTCTTCAGTTACATACAACACCCAGGGCTCATCAGAAGTGCACGCCTTAATCTCCATCATCTGTTTAACACCCCCGCCCCCATAACCCTGTTCTTTGTAGTTAAGTCTGTTTCCAGGTTTGCCTCTCTTTTTCCCCTCTCCCATATATTAATCTGTTTTGTTTCTTAAATTCTATGTATGAGTGAAATCATACAGTGCTTGTCTTTCTCTGATGGACTTACTTGCTTTGCGTTATACTGTCTAGCTCTATCCACGTTGTTGCAAATGGCAAAATTTCATTCTTTTTTATGGCTGAGTAATATTCCATCATATATACCATCCCTTCTTTTTCCATTCATCAGTTGATGGACATTAGGGCTCTCTCTGTAGTTTGGCTGTTGTTGATAATGCTGCTATGAACATCAAGGTACATGTATCCCTTCAAATGAGTATTTCATATCCCTTGGGTAAATACCTCGTAGTTCAATTGCTAGATCATAGAGTAGTTCGATTTTTAACTTCTTGAGGAATTTCCTTACTGGTTTCTTTTATTTTTTTTTTAAGATTTTATTTATTTATTTGACAGATCACAAGGAGGCTGAGAGGCAGGCAGAGAGAGAGAGAGTAGGAAGCAGGCTCCCTGCTGAGCAGAGAGCCCGATGCGGGGCTCGATCCCAGGACCCTGGGATCACGACCTGAGCCGAAGGCAGAGGCTTTAACCCACTGAGCCACCCAGGCTCCCCCTTACTGGTTTCTTTTGTGATCAATTTATTTTTTTTTTCCTTTAAAAATTTTATTAACATATAATGTATTATTAACCCCAGGGGTACAGGTTTGTGGATCGCCAGGTTTACACACTTCACAGCACTCACCATAGCACATACGTTCCCCAATGTCCATAACCCCACCACTCTCTCCCTACGCCCCGAACCCCCAGCAACCCTCAATTTGTCTCTTATGGTTTGTGATCAATTTAGACACTTAAGTATTTCCCAAATTCTTAGTTGTGTTTTAAGAGGGAAACAAAAGCAAAGTTCAAAATGTTCTAATTTACCTGCATTTCCAAAGTGGCTAGTCATTTTATTTATTTATTTACTTATTTTTGAGAAACTGTTAAAAATAGCATATCAGAATGGATACCAAGGTGCCAACCTCAAACTCTTCAGGTGTCCAGAATCAATTCCCCTCTCAAATGGATCTTTTTAAAACTATGAACTCAGCAGGTGAATCCTGTTAGTCTTGGCCAGTGCATCGGTTAGTCCCTTGAAGAGCTCTAGTTTCACCGGGCATGGCTAAGTACAGCAGAGATGGCCAGCCAGGATGAAGCATCCCACCCTCGTAGTTAGAAGAATATAGAAGGACGATGCCTCACACAACACGTGGAAAACTTTGCGGCTGGGAAAAGTAAAACCGTTTTGGGAATCAGAAGACATTTATTACAGAGTGGGATGATTGTTCTGCCCTCCAAGGTTGATTGGCTCATGTGAAGTCAGTGCTTCAGGAATTAAATTTCTTGCTTAATTTCTCCTCACGTGTCTTCCATGTGGAACAGCAAATCCCCTCACGTGTGACTTTGAATCTGGGTTCTGCGGTTGGGAGCCATTTCTCACAGAAGATTCGCAATGGGAAATCATGAAAGGATTGGCCAGTGGAGAGAGCCACCTTCCCGATGATGATCATACAGCAAACACAAGTCATGGTAGGATATTTTCCTTTAAAAAAAAAAAAAATTGGTTGCCTTTCTGTCATGTTGCAGAATGATGATCCTTTGTGTTTTCATTTCTAGCTATAGGCTACATACGTAGAGCTCTGGTTTGTCTCGCTTGAAACTCTCCTGATCAACATCAATATTTGAGTTTCCTGAAAATAATACTGTTTTAATAACCAACATTTTGAGGTCTAATTTTTTACAGGGTTGGGCTGAAAGCATGGTGAGAGGGGAAGTCTCTTGATAATTTTCTTTAGTTGCCAGAACTCATGTACAATAGGCTTGCTTTCTTTTTAGAGCAATCCAATTTTTGCAAAACAGAAAAAAAAATAGTTTAATCTTTCTGGAAAAGAGAACAGAGGTTTAGTGCTATCTATAAAATAAATCGACAAATGCTTCAATGTAGTTTAATCACTCTTAAGTCTTTGTAACAATCTTCTTTCTCATGTATTTTTAACCGACGTTAAAATTTATCCATGTACTCTTAAAATACAGCAGTCAAATGACACATAGCATTTCAATCCGGATTTGTGAATGTCTAAGGAAAATAGAAGGGTTTTGTTCTACTTTCCCTTGTTTGTGTCCACGACATTGCCTAGGTACATGAATATCGTATTAACTTTATAAAAACACAACTGCACTGTCGATCCTCTTTAAGCTCATATAACCCCCTTGGACATTATCTATTTCTCCTTTGATTTTCCGAAGAGGTATGCCAGAGCTACCAGTGTTGACCATGTTTTAAATTATAGCCACTGGAAACTGGAGTTGGTGGGGGAACATATTAGGGGGTGGGAGGGAGACTCTAGCCATCCCTCTGTTGTCTAAAACTATAAACCCAGCTTATTTGACAGTGGAGTAAGGTCCTACTTTTTCTTTTCATGCCAGTGAACCTTATTTTTTCTTTCAGATTCTGGAGGATTAAAGTGTGAAACAGGACTAATGATGGGAGGTATAAGTTAATTGCCCATTTTCTTCAAGCTCATATAAGGTTTCTTTTTCTGTTCTAAAACCATTGTCTGAGTACATATCCTGTACTACCCCTGCGGTACGCAGATGGAAGCCATGCTCCCTGCCTCTGGGGTGGTCTGAAGTCTAGTGACTGAAGCCAATAGGTGAAGATTTGCACTAAGATATAATAAATGTTTTATACGAGATGGAGAGTGACTCAGTGGAATCAAGAGGCCTTCCTGGAGGAGGTGACTCCAGAACTGAGCACTGAAGGGAGAGTTGCCAGAAAAGCTGAAGTAAGGAGAGGTGTCAAGGGAGGTGTTCTAACTGATGGAATATCCTGGAAGAGGATGGGAGAGATGTAGGTGGTTCCAGCTGAATGATGTGTATGTCTGGGCAGAGTATAGAAAAGATGAAGCAGCCAAGGAAAGAGCGGGGTTATGGAGTGCTTAGGAATTTGAAATCTCTCTGGAGGCCCATGGTAACCATTCTATGAAAGCACGTGACCCATTAGTTTTATTCCAAAAGGCTGAGATGCAACACTTTTCTGTAACACTAAGTGGCTTGTTGATTACCCTTTAAAGGAAGCTCCATGGTGGTTCAGAGGCTGGAACGTGTCATGGCTGTGGGTGGAGGGTAGATAGAGGTTGTAGTTGGGAAGCTCTAAGATCTGGGAAGGGCGAGACATACTGAGACCTCTGGCCATCTTATTGGGGGCTCGCCTGTTGGTTTGTTCAGTTTGGCTCTGTGCCTGGTTCTCTGGGGGAGATGGGCTTGCTGTTTCGGGAGGCGTGGAGCTTTGCCATGTATGAAATGGCGCTTTTCTACTTTTCTACTCATAAGCCGCTCACATGGTGCGTGGGGTGGCCTTGGGTGACCTCTTTGAGAGCAGGGTGGCAGAGATCCCTGTTTGCCCAGGGGTAAGTCAGGATGTTGTTGACACTGCACAAATTCGTTAAATGCCTTTGTGCCCCATTTTTTTTTTTCAGCTGGAAAATAGGTAAAATCAAAATATCTTTCACGTAAAATTATTATGAGGATTAAATGAAGTAATACCTGTTAAGGCTTTTAATATGGTAAAAGCCCACTAAATGTGACTGTCTGTTGTCTGTTCGTTCTAGTAAGAAAACTAGGGATACCACCAGGGCTGTGATAATAAGAAAACATTTATTAGTAATCTTCAGACAGCATGTAATTACCACTTAATTATGATTTATGCCAAAAAGAGATTCTAAAAGTTCTCTTTTGTTAAATATTGAAGGACCCATTTTTCTTTTTCTGTGATCTAAACAATGCTCACAGATAACAATAAACCGATAGAACCGGAGGCAACTGTTACAATTGGAAGTGAGCGCAGCAAAGAAATTGCAGCAAGTCTCTCTGGAAAGGGCACATCAAGGAGTCCCTCTGCCATTAAGTCTGTCCTTCTTTACCTGTGATTGTCATTCTGACTTTAAGGTGATCGCTAGTGGTCTTACATCACAAATGAGGAGGAGGAAAAATCGTACCAGGAAGACCTAGGAGAAGTGAAGTGGAAGTTTCTGGGAGAAGGCAGCAGGCTCAGCCTCCCGGCTCCCACATCTAAGACCGTATGCTTACCTCCAGCCTATTATGTTCTTAGACCTTTGTGTTTGCAGATTACAGTGCTTGAGAAAACTGTTTAATTTCTAGTATTTTTCCTCATATATGCACATTCCCATATGTAATTTTACATAAAAGATGAATGGCTTGACATTATGTAGCTTTTCTTTTTGTGATAAAACCTTGATTTTCCTACCTCCCTTCTTTGCTTGGTTTTTATTTTCCAGTTCCTAGTTGTTACCTTATGAAACCTCCAAACAGACAACTCATGTTTATCCATTCTTATTTATGCTCATGTACACATATGTGTACGTAATGGATATGCATACATTCAAAATTGTAAGTATTCTGATGACAATTTATTTCACTGAAAAATGACATCCTATTGTAACTACTATATCTTACTTTACTAAAGATAGCTCATGGCAATTCCTCCAAGTCATCAATTATAGTCATTTTGAATTTTATTTTTTCTGTTAAATATATATTCATACATACATATATACACACACATACATGTGTATAGGCACACATGTATATATACATATATGGGCAAACATACATATTTATTAGCAGTATGGCCACTCGCAAGGGTTTATTATGGGAGGGGCATTACAGGAACGACGGTGCTGTCTCCGGTATCAGGGACCCTGCCTTCCACGGCAACCCAGCCAGGTTTCCCAGGTGGCTGCCCATCTATTAAAGTATAATTTAAATGCAATAAAATTCAGCCTTTTTGGTGTACAGTTCACTGAGTTCACAGTTCACAAATGTATATAATTCTGTAACCATCAGAAAACTCAGGATATAAGCGTTCCATTCTCCCCCGATTCTATACCGCTTTGTAGTCAGTACCCATCTCATTCCCAGGTACCGGTATCCACTGATCTGATTTCTGTCCCTATAGTTTTGCCTTTTCCACAATGTCCTATAAATAGGATCCTATAGTATGTAGCCTTTGGAGTCTGTCCTCTTTCAGTTAGCTGAATGGATTTGAGATTCAGCACGTTGTTGATTGCAGTGGAAATGTCTGTTTTTTTGTTGTTGTTTTTTTAACTGCTGAGTAGTATTCCATTGCACGGATGAAGCACAGTTTGTGATCTCTGATCAGCTGAAGGGTATTTGGGCTCTCTCTAAATGGTGTTTACAGATATTCTGTAAAATTAGCATACGGGCCTTTGTTTGGACATAGATTTTCATTTGACTTGTGTACTCTGTCCAGTCCCTCTGTACAATTAATTTTTTTCATTCTGGTGATGAGTGCAAGAGCATACTATTTCTGCCCACTGTGACCTCCGATCAGGAAGTGGCCCGTTTCAGAAGTTTAAGGTCCAACCTCAGTCCTCGAGTGAAGATTTATGGGAGGAGAAGACTGCAGATCTCTGGAACTCTGCCTTTGCAGCACTGTCCTCCTGGAATGCTGCCTTCTGAACTTGAGGAGCGCTTAGTAGCATCTCTATCTTCTCAGTTTAAAGAGACCACTGCCTTCTTATGTGGCAGCTAGAAACTCTGTAGGCAGTAAACTGGGGAAGTTGTATGCCTTAATGCATTTGTTTTCCCTCTCTTAGAGATCATTATCCAATGATCTTATATTCTCATTGTCCTACATAAACCACTGTCTAATGCATTGTGTGTGTGTGTGTGTTTGCTAGTTCAGGAAGACTAAATCTTGTCCCTGATCACAACCTTGCCAAGAAGTAGAAGAAGCCTAATTTTTTGTTAGTTTGCTTCATTTATTTCATCCAGATATGCCAAAATATCATGGCAATATCAGATAATGCTGCAAAATCCATTCTTTCATACATTTTCTTATATAGGATGCTTTCAGTTCTATGCAATAAATAATTATGAGTGAGACAACTGTATTTTTACAGAAAGATGTACATTCCCCCCAAATCTTAATACTTAAAATTCCATTAGGAAAATAAGAGTGCTTTCCACCCCCCATTTGTCAGCAAAGGCATTATATTCTCTTAAATTCTTCTAATCTGTGGGTAAAATGATTGCTTACTTGTAGCCTTTATTTGTACTTTATTGAAAAATGATCTTTTCAAATGTTTCTAATTTCTCAGTTTACTTAAATCATCTTTAAGTTCTCTAAATAATATTCTGAACCTTTTAGCATATAGATTTAAAAATATTTTGCAAATTTTTTAGGTTTTTATATGTTTACAACTATTTTAAGTTATATTTTAAATACTTTTGTGTGTTGCTGGTGTGTAGAAATGCAATTATATTTTTTTATTTTTTTTTTATTTTTAAAGATTTTATTTATTGATTTGACAGAGAGAGATCACAAGCAGACATAGAGGCAGGCAGAGAGAGAGAGAGAGAGAGGGAGGGAAGCAGGCTCCCTGCCAAGCAGAGAGCCCGATGCGGGACTTGATCCCAGGACCCTGAGATCACGACCTGAGCCGAAGGCAGCGGCTTAACCCACTGAGCCACCCAGGCGCCCAATGCAATTATATTTTTAAATATTGACTTTGTATCCAGTGACCTTGCTGATTTTATTTATTATAGCAAGTACACACACACACACACACACAATTTTCTAGGTTCCCAATTATTTTCTCTTCAATAATGACAATTTTATTTCCTTATTTCTAAATCTTAAGCCTTCTGTTTTCTTTGTTTCATTATACTGGCTAGTAAATCTGGAAAAATGTTGAATATAGCTGGTGATAGCTTCTATACTTCTCTTGTTCTTATTTCAGAAGAAAACTGTCAATAATTCAAACTTAAGTGCTGTATTTGCTGAAAGATTGTTTGCCTTATTAGGTAAAGATGTTCCCTTCTATTCATAATGTGGTTTTCCTTGTGTGTGTGTGTATATGAGTCTATGTTAAAATTTGTCAGATTTTTTTAGTATCATGATAATCATATGATCATCATATTTTTTGTTTGTTCATAAGGGGAATTTTTCAAATATTAAACCACCTTCGCATTCATGAGCCAGATCTCATTTGGTTGGTTTTGGTTATTGTATACATGATTTTTTATTCTATATAATAACTGTTTTATGATATTTATGGTATTTTTATTCTGTATGATACTGGCTTATGATTATCTGTATTCATTATAAAGTCTGATCTCTAGTGTTTTCACATCATGTAAGGAGTCCCTTCTAGACCATTGCATTAAAAGCAGGTGCATGCTTCATAAATGATGAGGTTGAGGCTTATGGACAGTTTAATACATGGAAGCTGACCCCCTCTTTCTTTAATTCTTATACTGTGTTAGTCATAAATTCTGATACTGTGTTAGCCCCTCTAGGGTTTGTGGAGTTTTGCAATATGAACAACTCAGCTTACCAGGAACCATCTCCTTGATATATTATAATTCCATAGTTCTCTTAACTAAGTACATTCTGCACAGCAAACTTATAAGAAGGTAAATCCAGAGACATTTTTCTAGAAGTCTTTGGGTCTAGGCTCAGAGTTCAGATTCTCTTTACCCCGCACTTATAAATATTAAGTCTGTGTTATTTGTTTTTATTATTTATTTTTCTAACTATTAAAGTTCTCTTAGGATTTTATTTAGCTTTCAGATTTTCACTAAATTAATATTTTTACAATATCTTTTCATCTAAAAACATGTTATCTCTTTCTGTTTTACTCCTACATATTTTGTATTAATGTAATTGTGAAGAGGATATCTCTAACCATTTCTGTATCTAGGGTTTTATTGCTAAAGTTAAGAAAAAAAACTTAATCACATTTCTTTGTTTCCATTTACCTTATCAGATTTTCTTATTAATACTTATCATTATTTAACAATAGAAGCCTTGGGAGTTTCTACTTTTATGGTAATATTATTGGCAAAACATGAGAACTGTATTTCTATTTTCTATTATATTTGCTAAGTATGTTATTTTCTTGACTCACATTCACTAGGCCTATAAGATAATGTTAGTCTAAGGTAATTAATATTATCTGTGATTAATAGTGATAGAAATCTCTAGTTTCTCATTTTAATTAAAGTAGCTTTGTTGTTTGCCATTTAGGGTATTTGTTTTGGGGTTGATCATTGGTCTGCATTTAATTATTTACTTTTAATATTTTTTTAAGTTTTTTTAATTGTCAATGGCTATTTTTTCCACAGTCTTCTCAATATTTGTTGATCCGAGTCTGACTCTACCCTTTAATTTGTTGATCTGATTGACTGTGTTGATAGAGCAGCTAAATTAAACTCAGCTTCCATTCACGGAAAGCTCAGTTTGGTCAGGACATACAATTTTTTTGATAAGGATTTTCAAATATAATTGATAACTTTTTAATTAGAATTTTGTATTTATGATCATGAGTGACATTGCAGTTTATTTTTTATTTTCCTATTTCTGTAACTTATAAGTTAGAGATATCTGGCAGGGAGATATCTGAGTCAAGGAGTTCTTCATATTCTTTAAGACTCAAGATCCCTTGAATAATGTTACAAGTATTCCTTAAAAATTAAATAAAACTCAACTGTTTTGCCATATATGTGCAGTAGATTTTTTAAAGTCACTTTTGTAGTCATTTTTGTGGTATACCCAATTTATTCAAACCTTTACTGCTTTTAGAATTTGGAGTTTTAGTTTATATGTCCCATCCTTTATTGACTGCTTGTTTGAAATTGTACATACTGTTTTTAAATGATCAGGGCACTAGGATCCTTGAATATTTGTTAATTTGTAGAATTTTGATTAGTCTTTTTAAAAGTATTCAAGTGAATTTTAGTTGAACCTTTGAATTTTTAAGCTGAAACAATTTTTTCAAAATCCTCTTTTCCTGTGCTATTCCTTTATAGGTGAAACAGAATTTAATGAGCTTAGATAGTTTCTATCACTCTTGGTTTGAAGTTAGGGAATAATAGCTTTTATTCTTCCCTGTTGGTTTTGGGATATTAAAGCCCATATAGAGGAGCTTGGCTGGCTCGTCAGTAGAGCATGTGACTCTTGGTCTCAGGGTTATGAGTTCAAACCCCATATTTAAAAAAAGAAAAAAAAAAGTCCGTATAAACTGGTTCTGTTTTTCTCATTCAGAGATGATACTGCTGATTTGCAACCTTGGTAGTTCGGTTAAACATGTGGCGGTAGCTATAAAATAATACAGTTTAATTCTGAAATCCTTTCCGTGTAGTCAGCATTGACCAATATCTAGGAAAATCACCTTCTGAAAATGGTATTTTTCAGTCAAAATTGTCTGCTTTCCAAGTTGCCCATCACTTTGTGATTATCAAAGGGCAGGATCAGACCTTGACATTGTTCTGCATAGCCTTCCTTGTGAATTTTCAGTATTTGAGGAAGCCACCCCTGACAGCAGTTCCGAATGTGTGATCTTTTCAACTGCTAAAAGATGTTATCCCCCTGTATGTTTGCCATGAGCGCATCCTTGGAGTTAAAATCTAAAAGCAGTTATTTTGTTAATGCTCAGATTAGATCTTTAATTAAGCTTTCATCCCCACTAGCACAGACAACAATGTCAAACATGTAAGCCCCAAGAGAAACGCAGCTCATTCCACAGGCTCGCATCTTTCAGTCCTTTGTGAAGAAACTTAAAAATAATGCTCTCGTGAGAATTTCGTAAGGACATGTTGACTATCTAATTGTAAGCTTAGAAGCTTCGTTTAATTTGATTACAGATTCTAATTATGACCCAAGTTAAGACAATAAACCTATTCGTTTAGGGGATTTAGATCAAGAGCTTGTTTTTATCAGTTGGATTTTATCTTAGATACTTAATGTTATCCACATGAAAAAACTTGGTCATTTATTGAATTCAATGGTAAATAAGTAAAACATGTAATTTTCTTGATGTGATTGACAGTTGATTGTCTGCAAGGATAAGATGTTAGAGCAAAGGACTGCTAAATGTATAACAGAATTTGTATCCATGTGATTTTTACAAATTTATTTATTTATTTCGTAGGCTCATTCATTTATTTCCGTTCCCATCAATCTCCAAGAGTGGCCAAGCTTGGAAGTCTTGTTCTTACAAAAGCCCTCACTGCCTCTACCCCATGTCAGGTAACCAGTTACTGGAACTTCCAGCAGCCATTCTGTGGTTGTAAACTGTTAGGTGTGGGTTACTTGGGCCAGTAAATGACTGCTATGTTTTACTGCCATTTTCATGATGAACTGAGAGATTTATACAGACTATCAACACGAAATGTCATGTCCTTCCAAAAGACCATTTGCAGCCTATAACTTAAATGGTTCTTTTGTGGGGCCTATTAAAGAATATTTCTTTCATTTTGTATTCTTTCCAAATAGTCCTTCCAGTAATCCAAAGCTGTGGATACATGTTGCCAAAGCTGCTGATTGTTTTGGCCAACAGTGTTAATTGAGTAAAATAAAATAAGCCAAACAAGTGCTTGCTGAAAGGAAGATGAAAGGGCAAATAAAGAGAAAGAACTGTGTGCAGAAAAAAATGACATTTTCTGAAATTTTATTTCTTCAGTTAGTCTTTGTATGCCGAGTAAACCTAGAGCAGGCGATACGTGCTCAGTCCATTTCAACAGCGAGAGAGAGAAAAAAGCAGAGAAGGACTTCAGAGTCCAACAGACCTGGTTCCGATCTCTGTTCTGCCACAGACTCTATACTCTCTTCGAGACTCCGTGTCCACACTGGAAGTGTAATATTAGAGTACCTTTTTTCAGCTGGCTGTCAGGATTATCTGACAAAGTATCTGGAACATAGTAGGTGCTCACTAAACAGAATTCCTTTATTTTCCGTAGAACTAACACCTACACTTAGATGTTTCTGTTCAGCTTGCCTTGTTTTCTATCCTTTTGAGCATTCCAGCAAGCCACCAGGCCCTCAGGATTGCAGTTTAATTTCTTTAGTTATCAGAAGACAGTGCAGATCGATACCGCTGCACACCAAATTCATCTTCTGTAAATGTGGGGGTACAGCAGTTTATTCAGGCTTTCCTGCTGACAAATTACATATTGTTCAGAGGAATAAATCTCATTATGTGTTCAGCTTGATATACATCTGAATGGGAGTGCTCAGATCTCTTAATGGATTGTCCTCTCTCTCGTTTTTTTCCCTTGTTATTTCCTGCCCATTTCTCTGTGGGGATTACATGTAAAATAACTGCCTGGACTCCACTTCCACTTGGCTCACATGCATTCTACCTTCGCTTTGTTTCAATTACATCCCGTGTGATAGATACAGATTTTTTTTTTTTTTTTTTGAGAACTCCTGAGGCATTTACTCGCTCTGTAAAAGTACTTTACAAGCTTACTTAGCCTTAATTCAAGGTCATACACCAAAGGGATGGGATCACCGTTGTTACGTACATAAGGCATTGGATACTAAACAATAAAATGTATTCATTCTACTTGTTCTACAGGGGTCTGAAAGCAAACATTAAGAGCTTATTGAAATTCCTGAGATTCAGTGAGAAATCATATACATTTTTTCTTTTGAAAGATTATCCACATTTTCCATTGATGTGTGCTGGTAGCCATTAATCTGTGATCATTGGGATTTTGTTTCAACAGATGGTTGTTTCCACTTGGAGGCATTTTTCTCTGTGGTCGCTTAGGAGTTTAGCGCTTGTGGGGCCTCAGCGAAAGCCATGGACAGTTTGGACACTTGCTGATTTATTTCTCAGAACCAGTACTCAATCTCCTAAGGCCTCGAATGCTGAGTTAGTGGTTTGTCTTGCTTTTTAGAAAAGTAAGAGTGTTTCAGGGAGCCATTCCAGACTGCTAGAAGAGGTTTGTTCCCCCCCCCCCCTTTATCTGTATCTGCTTGAATGTTAGTACTTTTGAGTTAGAAGGATGGATATTTGGGTTACTTTATAATACTTTTTGGTCTAGGAAGTGGAACTAGACAGCTAGAGAAGGTTGTCTATAGTCTGAGATACACATAGCTTAATGTCTTTCCCAAAAGGGTATTCTAAGAATATAGTATTACTTTTTTACAAGTCTGCGGTACTGTGTGATACTTTCTTTCATAAAAGTTATGGAATAAACAAACCAAATTCTTCTTGAGTTATCAGAAGTTCAGCCAATCTTCCTAATTGGAACATATTGATAATATTTATATTTGTGGAATAGCAGATGTTAGTCATTATAAAATGGTGAAGTTAGACAGGGCCATACCGAAGTTGTGTGCTTTGATATGATTAAAGTCTTCATTTTATGAAATTACATTTTTTCCCTACATAATCATATGAAGCTAATGCATTTCAGAACCTTTTTTTTTTTTTTTTAAACTTTAAAACCGGGAAGCTTTCTTTTGAGTCTCCTTTTCTAACAACAGGCTAGTAGAGTCATTTTGCATGAATTATCTTGTGCCTTATGTATAGCCAGCACATGGCATCAACACGTGCAAACTTTCTTACACCCACTCCTTGCTTAAGATGCGGACTTTAAAGACTTCAAAAGTCCCTTCAGTCACTGTTGGAAACTTGGCATTTTTCCATGGAATAGCCAGGAGATAGGACAAACAGAACACATGGGAGCCAGAAGCTACTATTTCTTATTTGTGTTGAAATGCTGTTACTGTTGTGAATTAACGAGGAAATATCAAATATGAAGGAGATTTATGGTAGGTATTAATACTTTCTGAGTTCTTCTATTTGAGTTACTATATAAAATTACTTTTGGGGCTTCACGATTAATTAAAGACAGGAAGATTGATATTACAAAGCTCCTGTTTTCGAAGCTGGTTTGCATACTTGTCTACTTTAAAAACATATTCCCATCTTGCTTTGCACTTGTTTTAATAGTCTTTAATTTAAAAAAATCATAAAATTTTTTAAAAAGTGAATGAGGTTATCAGGGAAAAGATAGATGAAGCAAGAGATGGGTTGGTTCTACAAATGAAGCTTATTAGAGCCAGGCTACACATTTGAAGTAACTTTTCCAGCAACCAGTAGAGATGGATGAATCATCATTTGGTTTAGATCTAAGGCAGTAAAAATAAGAAAAAAAAGCAAAAATAGTTCTTGTGAGAATTCTCTCCTGAGTGCATACAGTGATAACAATGTAAACATTCTTGCTCTGATTTGGCACACACATACTGCTTACCTGCTCTGTGTTGATCACAGCCCGCAATGCTGAGAATACAATAGGGACAACCGAAGTATGTTTGTCCTAATGAAATGTCGATTTTAGGGATTCTGATGGCAATTCAGTGTTAAAGTGCTCTGAGAGAGTGGGTACAGGATAACAATAATAATCTACTTAAAACAATTCTCTCAACGAATTTTGAAAGGCCATGTCTTATAATGTTCCCCAAGTGAACTCATGTCAATGAGAAATTTAGTAAAAAAAAAAAGAAAAAAAGAAAAACAAACAAAAAATGATGGAGTGGGGCTTGCAATGGTGCAGTCACACTTTGTCCTCTGATTGTTTTGCTCAATCCAAGCATAGACATTAAAGTAGGCATGGATTCTAGAGGAAGCAACAGTGTAAGGGGGAAAGGCTGAGCTGGTACCCTCTCCACCTGCGCTTGAGCAAAACACATGGAGGCTAATCATTTAAATGGAAATAACATATTTTACTGAAGATTTGAAACTTCTAATTAAGCTTATTCAGATGAAGAATAGACAGGCAAACACATAATTATGACTAGGATTAGAGAAATCACTATGGTAATGTGGAGGGTGTGTGTGATGAATGATCCCCACTCAACATGGACTTAGTCCCAGCTGAATTTTGAGGAGCTACATATATATCATCTTTTCTCTCTCTTTTTTTAAACTATTTTTTTCTACATCTTGAAGATAAAACAGGTGTTGCACATACTAGACAGGGTCCTTTGTGAGGCAGAAAAAACAGAAGTAGCTGAGCATTTGGAATACAGCTGAGAAAGAGCTTGAAGATCTGGCCAAGCAGTTCTGAGATAGGGGAGCAGTTGGAAAAAGGACTGTAGGAAAGTAGAGGAAAGATACAGAACCTCTGAAGAGTTAGAGTTGCAGCTGGACACAGACCAACATCGAATGAAATAGAAATAGGAAGAAATTATTTTCAACTTGTAAATAATGCCCTGGAAGGTCATTCACAGAGTTAAGTATCAGAGAGCCTAATTACTCCTTTGTAGACCTGGGCTCTCGCTCCTCTGGGCCACGTCATGGGGCGATGTAGGAACAGAAAGGCAAGTGGTGTGACCAGGGCCATCACGCTTTCCAGGCTATTCACCTGTACTCAGAACTATTAGTATATCACCTGAAAAGCTGTCCTTCTGTAATAAAAATGAATTATTGAGTATTTTATTTTTTATTTTTATTTTGTAAAGGTTTTATTTAGGGAGAGCACAGAGGGAGAGGGAGAAGGAGATATAGAAGCAGACTCCCCGCTGAGCAAGGAACCTGATACAGGGCTTGATCCCAGGACCCTGGGATCATGACCTGAGCTGAAGGCAGATGCTTAACTGAGCCATCCAGGAGCCCTGATTGGGTGTTTAAAAAAAAAAAAAAAAAAAAAAAAATGGAGTCAGAAAATACAGTTTAAACTAATAGAATAGTCTAAGCTTCATTTTCTTTTTCTCTCAATTTGCAATTAAAGTATCTGCTTTGTGGGAAGCTTTTTTAACCACACAACATTGTTTTGATACAATAATTCATTGTCTGTATAAAACGTGTCTTAGTGAAAAACCAAAAGAAATAACACCAAGCCTTTAATATTAACATTGATCTGGCTACTTTTTAATGAATCAGGCATGAATCGCAAAAATAATTTCCTTTTGACTGGTAAGTGGTAAATACAATTTAAATGGTTGGTGTAATGTTAACATACCTGTTTTATAGTTCTGTGTAATAGAATTTTCTGTGATAATGGAAGTTTTTCTCTGCTGTGTCCAATATGGTAGCCACTAACTGCATATAGCTTTTGAGCACTTAATGTGTGATGAGTATAATTGAGGAACTGGATTTTTCATTTGCTTTCATTTTAATTAATTTACATGTAAATAGCTACACGATTATCATACCTTTGCCACTATACACATTATAGTTAATTGTTCCCTTTTCATTTCATTCTCCCCCCAAAAACTCTGTAGTCCCTAAAGACACCTAATACTTTGTACCTTTTCTGACCCGGAGCAGCCTTCCTTCATGCTCTCTGGGAGAGTTTACAGGTGTTCACTCTCAGGGCTGATGCTAATAGTCCCTCTCATCGCTCCCTTCTTCTTTTTTAAGAAACACCTATTAACTGAAAACCTATTAAACACAAACTGCTTTAACAGACTCTGTGAGGAATTCTTGACACACCTCATGTGCTTGGGTTCCTGGCTTCGCGTTCTCTGGTGTGCGGCAGTTCGAGAGCTGCAGAGGTTGCACACTTGATGAGAGTCTCTGTGAAACCACAGCTGTGTTAGTGACTTTGTTCAGTGAGTTCACCCTTACCAATATTAAATTTGAAAACAGCTAAGCTGAAGAGCTCTTAATGGTCTACGATGCCAACTCTGCTAACGCAGTAAATTAAATATAAATCTTAAGCTCTGAGCCTATTTAATATGGATCCCATTGGTATTTACTCTTAATACACTATTAAAATACATTAACACTGGTGATGTACTGAATGACAGTTTGACAGCTTGATAGTCTGATGGGGCTTGTGTACCTCTTGTACTACTAAGGTTAAAGCTCTGGTTTGCATATTTACAAGCTTGGAACGTGCTGAAACTCTAGCAGGGATCTAACATTTAATTCTGGTTGAGGAACCTAAATAATCCCTTCCCATAGGATCTAATCAGACACTTCCATTAGACTTTTCATTCCTCAATTACCTGTCTTGCTTATCAGAGTTTAGGGGAGCGTGTTAGTAAAGTCTAAAATGAAGCGGACAGAATTTTTTTGATGAAGTGGTGCCAGTTAAATAGATAGACTAAAAGAACGTGTGCCACATTGGAACAGAGGATGTTTGCTCTTTTAAGCTAGACAACGTTTTAAAAGTGCATCTAAAAAATTATTTGACTTCACGGGTGCCTGGGTGGCTCAGCCAGTTAAGTGTCTGACTCTTGATTCTGGCTCAGGTCATGATCTCAGGGTCATGAAATCAAACCCTTTGTTGGTCTCCATGCTCAGTGGGGAGTCTACTTGAGATCCTCTCCCTTTCTCTGTGCCCTACCTCCTGCTCACACTCTCTCTAAAATCTATTAATTAATTGTGTTATTGATTGATTGTGTTACATTAGTCACCATAAAATATGTTCTTAGTATTTGATGCGGTGTTTCAAGATTCATTGTTTATGCACAATACCCAGTGCTCCATGCAATACCTGCCCTCCTTAATACTCACCACAAGGCTCACCCTCAGTTTGTTTCTCAGAGTCCACAATCTCTCATGGTTCGTCTCCCCTTCCAATTTCCCCGAATTCCCTTTTCATTTCCTTCTCCTAATGTCTTCCTTGTTATTCCTTATGTTCCACAAGTAAGTGAAACCATATGATAATTGACTCTCTCTGCTTGACTTATTTCACTCAGCATAATCTCCTCCAATCCCATCCATGTTGATGCAAAAGTTGGGTGTTCATCCTTTCTGATGACCAAGTAATATCCCATTGTATATATGGACCACATTTTCTTTATCCATTCGTCTGTTGAAGGGCATCTCAATTCTTTCCACAGTTTGGCTCTTTTGAACATTGCTGCTATGAACTTTGGGATACATATGGCCTTCTTTTCACTGCATCTGTGTCTTTGGGGTAAATACCAAGTAGTGTAGTTGCCGGGTCATAGGGTAGCTCCATTTTTAATTCTTTGCGGAACCTCCATAGTGTTTTCCAAAGTGGCTGCACCAACTTACATTCCCACCAAAATGTAAGAGGGTTCCCCTTTGTCCACATCCTGTCCCAACACTTGCTGTTTCCTGCCTTGTTAATCTTTGCCATTCTAACTGGTGTGAGATGGTATCTCAATGTGGTTTTGACTTGAATCTCCCTGATGACTAATGATGATGAACATTTTTTCATGTGTTTGCTAGCCATTTGTATGTCTTCATTGGAGAAGTGTCTGTTCACGTCTTCCATCCATTTTTTGACATGATTATCTGTTTTCTGAGTATTGAGTTTGAGAAGTTCTTTATAGATATTGGATATCAGCCCTTTGTCTGTAGTGTCACTCGCAAATGTCTTCTCCCATTCCGTGGATTGCCTTTGTTTTGTTGACTGTTTTGTTTCCTATGCTGTGCAGTTCTTTAAAAAAAAAAGTTTTTTTGACTTGAATTTCCACCGAAATTGGTACCAAGCATAAAATAAATGGGGAGACTGTAGATGCACTAATATCTGTCCATGTAACAAAACCATAGCAGTGAAAGAAAAAACCCCAAAAATCTAAAATACAGTGCAAGTGAAAAGGAGTCACTTTGAATCCCAAGAAAAAGATTTTACTTCTGAGAGGCCTCATCTCTGAATGTTGTGTTTTCTTAGAGAGTCCTAATGCTGCACTTTTCAAAGACATCATGAGAAGAAAAAGAATTGCTATGTGTCTGAACTTGTTTTTAAGGAGATTTTGTGGACATATTTTATAGAGTGAGTCATCCAGCCATTGAGGGAATGAATCCCTGCCTCACACAGTATCTGATACTTAGTAAATGCTCAGTAAATATTGCTTGAATAAATGAGACTCCTGAATTTCATGCTTTAGCTATTGCTGTCAGCACTTAAAATAATTCTTTACTTTTTTTTTTTTAACTACATTTAGTTAAGTGCTCAAACACTTAGATTGTCATCCCTGATAATGACTAGGAGGTGAAATGATCACGCCCCCCCCCCCCCAAGGTTGTTTTCTTACTTAAATTATGAAGCAACAGTTTTATATGAGCTCCCAAGTTCTTTGATAGTGTCCCCAAGAGAAGGAATTAATGAAAAGTATTCAGTACGGTTTTCTTTTACCTGAGAAAATATTTTTTCAGGAAAATATTATTATTTTTTGGTTTGGAGTTTGAGACGTCAAAGAGAATGTATAAGTGAAACCTGATTTTTGTACACTAAGAATATGTAACTCCCCAGATTTATAAGCAAGAGATTTATAACCATAGAAGGAAGGACCATAGAAACTAATGTGGAAGCAGACTGGTACCACCCGTGATGGTGTGGACAAATACACGTCCTCTGTGCTGACGTCCTATTTCTTTAGACCTCTTGATGGCATGTGTTAAAAATAACAGTCAGTAGAGCCGCCTTGAGCCTTTTCTTTAAGGGGAGAATGCAAAAACAGGCAAAAGACATACTTAGCATATTCTGGCTTGCATATTTGGAGGAAAAGAGACTTGAGATTTTATATATATATATATATATATATATATATATATATATAATCTTTAATTTTTTAAAAATTTATTATTTAATCTTAAATATATATATATATTTATTTAAGATTTTATTTATTTATTTGAGAGAGAATGCGTGAGAGAGAGCATGAGAGAGGAGAAGGTCAGAGGGAGAAGCAGACTCCCCAAGGAGCTGGGAGCCCGATGCGGGACTCGATCCTGGAAGTCCAGGATCATGACCTGAGCCGAAGGCAGTCACTCAACCAACTGAGCCACCCAGGCACCCGAGATTATATTTAACAGCAGAATGATCTGTGGTATTTTTAATTATAGAAAAGCTGTTGGAGACCGGCAAATGGAATATTCATGTCATTCAAAAACATTTCCAACAGGTGCGATTTTGGTATCATTTGTCCCGGCATTCACATCTCTCGGTTTTTACAAGAACCTCCCTGGATGGGAATTTGCAAAAGCAACGTGATCTCATTGGAATCTCCAAATCTCAGTGGACACAAGCAAAAATCAATCTCCTTGTGAAGGCTGGAGAATCTACTCTACCTTTTCAGGTAAGCAAGCACATAAGAAATGAATATAACTCAGCAGAAGATGCTAACTTAATACTATTTTTCTTAGAGAACAATGTAACACATAGCACATATGTCCCATAGATTTATCAGGTATTGAAAAAAACAAGCACATTCACAGTCAGGGATGAGTACAGATGTTACATTGAGTGCTCAGAAATTATAATTTTTCACTTTAGAGTTCTGAATTTAATTATATAGAAGTAATTGCGTGGACACTTAGCAAAATTGGAGATAAGAATTGAATAGGAGGAAGAGAAAACAATTGAATAGGATTGCAGAGAGAAAGGTAATTTAATAAGAAAATATTTATTTTTTAAGTGAGGATGGCAGATTATATGAGATGGTGAAAAAACCTGGCTTGCACTATGCTTGCCTTTTAATTCTGATGCCTTATTTTCTGCTTCCCGTTAATACTGATATTTTGTATCAATCTTTTCTGTCATTTTCTTGGCTCATAATAAAAGAAGGCAACTGTAGATAATCAAATTGGTGCCCAAACTTCCACCCTCCTGGATATGGCTTCCCTCTGGATGACATTTGAAAAGAGAGATTTTAGAAACTAGATTGGATGATAGAATATAGCAGAAAACACAGCCTTTAGAGTTAGGTGGTCTGAGTTCTGATCTCTGCTCAGCTCATGGGTTACTAAGTGACTCCAAATTATATTTTTGAGCTTCACACTTCCCTATCTGTGAAAACCACAGAGATACTAAAAGCAATGCTTCAGGGGAGTCTGAGTATTAAAGATAAAGCTAAAATGGTGGCCACAAACATGGGCTCTGGAATCTGGGGTTCAAGCCAGGTGTGTGTCATCATTGGGAAGTTGCTTAATCCCTATGCACTTATTACTTCTTCTGTTAAATAGGAGGTGAGGGTCATTGTTGGGGGTTAGGAGCCTTCATGGTAATGTTCCTCATTGGTCCTCATCTCTGAACAAGTTAAGATAAATATAGAAGTCAAAAACAACAAAATATTTTAGAGGAGATGCTTTTAGAATTTGCAGCCATACGCAGAATAAAGAGATTTATCCAGAAAGCATTGAACTGTGCCAGAGAAATCCAGGACTCACATGTTGGGGGAAACCTATGACTATTAGCCAGAGCTGTTGTCAGAGTGTAAGTGTCCAAGAGTGGGAGTTGAAGGAGAGACCAACAGCATGAGTTCAGCACATACAGCTTATTCTTCTAACATCACTAATCAGTTATATCCTCCCGTCCATGGGAGAGAGTGAGGTCAATTATAGCAGTGTTTCTGCAGGGGTAAGTTCCTGCCCATTGGAAGTAGGAGGAGTAGGGAATAAATATGGACTCCTGTCAGTATTCTTTTCTTTCTAGAACTGTTGTGAAGGTTGGAAGATTTATATATGTAAAGCACATATGTAAAGATATTCTGGCATAGAGTGAACACACAAAGTTAACTCTTATTATTGCTGTGATTATCAGTTGGACATTATCTGGGAATAGTAGACACTCAGTAACTATTAGTATTCTTTATTTTGAAAAGGAGTCTCCTCTTGACCAGAATTCTAGGCTTAGTGATTAGAAGCTATGTCACTCGGGTCTCTAAACTCCCTGATTTTCAAGGATCACATTTATGGGTGTGCTCCCATATCTAATGGACAAAAGTACTGTGAATCTAGTAACTCTTAATAGGAAAGCAGTAAAGGCCAGTTATGGGATTACATAAGTGCCAATCTCCATTACATGTGACAGGACAAAAACAATCAGAACAGTCTGTTCTCTTGTTTCATTTATTTATATTCTGTACAACATGATTTTCATTAGGTTTGCTTTTAGTTAGAATGAAACCTACCATGAAGATCTTTCTCAGTCCATTGTTAATTCCCATTACTGCGAATTAAACAGAATGTCCTTGTCCACACAAAAACCTGCATGTGAATAATGATTCATGATTTCCTTATGATTACCCAAACTTAGAAACATTCCAAGATGTTCTTCAGTAGGTGAATGGGTAAATACACTGTGTTCCATCCAGACAATGGAATATCATTCCATGCTAAAAATAAATGAGCTATCAAGTCATGAGAAGACATGGGGGATCCTCAGGTCCATATTACTAAGTGAGAGCAGCCAACCTGAAAAGGCTACTCTCTCCCTCAGTCCAACTATATGGCATTCCGGAAAAGGCAAAACGAGGGAGACAATAAAAGATCAGTGGTTGCCAACGGCTGGGGGTGCTGGGAGAGAGGAGGGATGAACAGATAGAGCAGAGAGGATTTTGAAGGCAGTAAAAATACTCTGTATGATAATATGATGATGGATAAATGTTATACATTGGTCCAAGTGCACAGAATGTTCAACATCAAGAAGGGACCATAATGCAGACAGTGGACTTTGGGTGATTATGAGGTTCATCATCTATAATACATGTCCCACTGTGGTGGGAGATTGTTTTTGTTTTTCTCAGAGGCTGGGGGGTGGAGGGAGAGGTAGAGAGAATCCTGAGCAGGCTTAAGCCTAGTGCACAGCCTGATGCGGGTCTTGATCTCATGACCCTGAGATCATGACCTGAGCCGAAATCAAGAGTCAGATGCTCAACCAGGGGAGCCACCCAGGCACCTTGGGAGATGTTGATAATGAGGAAGCTGTAGCATATGATGGGGCAGAAGGTACAGGAGAAAACTACACCTTCTCCTCAGTTTTGCAGTGAACCCAAAATTGCTCTAAAAGTCTTTTTTTTTTTTTTTAGATTTTTTAAATTTATTTATTTGACAGAGATTACAAGGAGGCAGAGAGGCAGGCAGAGAGAGAGAGAGAGAGGGAAGCAGGCTGTCTGCTGAGCAGAGAGCCTGATGCGGGGCTCGATTCCAGGACCCTGAGATCATGACCTGAGCCAAAGGCAGAGAGCCACCCAGGGGCCCCGCTCTAAAAGTCTTAATGAAAAACAAAACTAAACCAGATTGTCTTCTGTTAGAACCAGTTATTTAAGAAACGTTTTGGGTTGAAACACATGCTGTTCCTTCCTGGGCCTGCAGGCCCTCATTAACGGATCACCATTACTGAAGGGATTGAGCGCAGTGCCCTTTCTTTTCCCTTTAGCATTTCTTCCTCGGGGTTCTGTTTTGTGTTTTGCTTTGTTTTTCTGTGAAAAGTGAGCCTGATCTTTATTATCTGGGGCATATGTACTGATTTGTAGGGTGACTAGTGGTTTGATAGGATTTTGTAATTGGGCAGCAGTGGATTTGTGATGTTTTTCTGAATGGTTCCACGTTCTTGCTAGATCTTCTTTCGCCCCAGCGGACATTTTAGTCTCTGTCTCTGTCCTCCTTAATTCCGTTACTTGGCTACAGTATATTTGTTTTAGAAACTGCAAGTAGAAAAGAGTAAGAATTCCCTCAGATTTCATCATCAAGAAGCCCATTGTAGGTCCACAATCTCTAACCAACAATTTGGAAAGTTAAAATTTGGGGAATAGTAAGTTTTTGAAAAACAATTTGGAGGCAAAACTTAACCTCACCTGAACCCGTGTGAGGTGTTCAGGCCGCTCGTTCGGTGAGATGCTGGATTAGAGAGTGCCGCTTCTGGAATACACACGCTAAGTGTTAGGTGGACATTCTCAACTCTGAACTAGTCAAATTTCAAAACCCATAGGGCCCCAAAGGCTTTGGGAAGGGATGAGGTCCCGTGTCCACATTCTGGAGTGAATCAGTCCCACATTTATGCAGACACGCACGTGTACACGCTACATAAATACACACAGTCACATGTACGCATGGTAGTATTTAATACATTATTACTACATATATATTAAATATTTCAAACAAGTAGAAAATACAGAGGCAACTCTCCTGTATTTGCACCTCAGAATGAACTCTGAGCATTCTGCTTGCTTATAACATGATTCCTGTTTGCATATGAAGGTACAGCTTTTGTTCTCTTTGTACCCATTTCTATTCCTTTTCTTGTCCTCTGCTGGAAAAAAAAAATTGCAGATCTTATGTTAGCTTTAGCCTGATTTCTGTAAATTCTTATTGAGAAACCGGGAGTTCTGCATGAGGATTCTAGCTAGAATTCTAGCTAGGTGCAATTCTCCTTTATTCTTTTAGTCACAATTGCAACAGATACTCTACCTATAAATAGTCACTTTAGCTTTTTAAAATATTCAGATATTTAAAGTTTACGTTCTTGGGAACGGGCTTCTTTGCCACTTTAGTAGACTGAATCCTTTAAGAGTTACCTGAGTCATCCCCGGACTGTCGTTCAAAGTGACTGAACTCTGAATGTACGTATACAGCGTCTCCCAGTCCACACACTGGAAACGAGAAAGACATCAACCCGTATGACCTCTGTGTCCCCTTGTAGCCATGAACTCTTGATGCACTGTCGTCCTTTTGATGTCTCTTGTAGACTTCCCAACAGAGTACAAATTGCTTTGAGTTTCTTAGGAAATAAACATCCTTAGGTAGGTAGGGCTTTTGTTCTCCCTCGTGGAAAAGGATAAGGCTTCCTCTTTATTCCATAAGAACAGCAAATTAACACCATTTCCATAGTGTCTCCTTTTCCTTTGTTTTTTTATTGAAATGATATAAGTCAAGTAGTTAATAGTATTCTTTTTAATCTGTTTTAACTTGGCTCGCTCATTGGATATGTTGAGTTTTTACAGAAAGGTACTCCTTTACAATTTCTTCTTCCTCTAACTGCCGTTCTTAGTTTTACTATCTAAAGGTGGTTCTTTTTCTGAATACTGTCCATTGATTTCCAGCTGATGTACTTTTTTCAGGCTTCCTATTAATATGTAATTGTATCATATTTTAGACTTCATTTTGAAATGACCCTTTTGTGAAATTTTCCACAATGATTGATACCGTGTTCATTCTTTATCAGTCAATGATATAAATCAATAACAATTTCCTGACATTATTTGAAGATTCAGTGAAGGGCAAGATTTATAATACAATAGTAAAAGCTGGTGTAGTCTCTATGAAGTTACAACCTCCTCAGCCTTCTTAATTTAGGGCTGCACTGAATATTGTTCTACCAGACAGCTCTGGTCTGTAGCATCTGCTAAAGGCCAGTTAGCTTTTTATTTTATTCTAGCAGTGCAATATAACCTAATCCTTAATGGCTCTGGTTACATATCTCGTTTATGAGGTAGATGACCTTTAACCAGTTACTTCACCTCTGAAGCTTCTGTTTCTTTTGCTTGAACATGAGAATGAAAATAGCACATCTTCACAGGGTTAGAACAAACGAACGTGCTTCGTATGCAGTAACCTTTAAATAATGTTTGTGGTCGCTCTTATTATTGATACCATCATTCAAAAATTACTATATTCCTATTTATCTTATATTATCTACTTTCAATTGCCTCTTAGATTTCTTTTTTGTTGTTGTTGTTGCTGTTCTCACTCCTTTTTTTTAAAAAAACAAGATATCAAAGAACCAAAATTTAAATGTGCTAGTTGAGTATTTCTCTGGAAAGGCTTACCTTGGTTTTTCAGATATAAAAAATAATCACTGGAATATAAGCAGCATTTCTTTAAGTTGTTTGGTTCCTAAAAGCAAAAACCAGAAATGATTTTGCTTTTTCATGGAGTAATATGATATCACTGAATAAAACAAATATCAGCAAGATCCTGAGCAGTAGTTTTAGAAGGCAGAGACTTCTGCATATAACTTAGAATTTAAATTCTCAGATTTTCTTGAGAATCTTAAAAAATGAGGTTTTCAGTTCTCCTTCATTTGTGGTTGAAATACCCGTGGTTGAAACATTTCTTCTGCGTGAACTCTTTCTCACCTACTGATTATTAATTGGTCCTGTATTTCCCGAAGGAAAACTGCCTTTGGTCACAAATCAAAGGATTGACTTAGTTGAAACGAGCAATAAAAAACAGAAATAGCCAAGATGATTCTGGAATCATTTGATGGTATTATTTACAGATATAAGATACATTTTTAAAGGAAGTGACCATTTTACTTTTTAAATTTGGAAGACTTTAATTCATGGTAGAGTTTTATAATTTTTCATTTTAGAATTCTGAATTTAATAATATGGAAGTAAACAAGGTGTACATGACCCAATGTGATTTTTTATTTGGCTTTGGATGAGTTTTATATTAACATTTTAATATGAATATCTGGAAGTCTAGTGGTTCCCTTCAGACAAAATGATATAACCATATTTTACAGACCTATTCCACAATTCTATTTCAACTTCTGCCAGGGTTCCAACCACTTCATGTACTTGTTTACTTTTTTTTTTAAAGATTTTATTTATTTATTTGACAGAGAGATTACAAGTAGGCAGAGAGGCAGACAGAAAGAGAGGGAGAAGCAGGCTCCCCGCGCAGCAGAGAGCCCGATGCGGGGTTTGATTCTAGGACCCTGAGATCATGACCTGAGCTGAAGGCAGAGGCTTAACTCACTGAGCCACCCAGGTGCCCCATGTACCTACCTCTTTAGATGCACAGAGAAGTGCCCCAAGCATTCTTTTCCCCCCACTCTTTTTAGAAGTTGTTTAGGGCTTCCAATACGGTGGTTGATAAAGGCTTGTCAAATGAGTCTGAAGAATTAAGCATTTGTATTTTAATTGACTTTAGTCAAGGATGATTTCTAGTAATGGATGAAAGGAAAAATCTTTTAAAATTAAAGCTGTCCAGAATAGATTACTATAACTTAATGGTGCTAATAAGCATATATTTTTTTTCAATTATAGTATCTGTAGATACTTTGTCAAAATCCTTCCTTAAAAACTATTGTTATTTTCTGCCTTATGTATGAAGACCAAGTGCCTTAGTTGGTTAAAACTCTACAAAAAAAAAAGTTCTAATAAAAATTTTAAAAATCATTAAAATTATATATATATATCTCATCAAAAATTGCAGATAAGGCAATAGTCTCTCCTGACCTCTTTCACCTCTTATTATAGTCTATATCTTGAGGTTAGCATAGACATTAGTTCATTTTTACTTCTGAACCCTATTCTATTTATGTAATGTGTATGTATGTACCACTATATCTAGAAATCGAAACCATTGTGTTTTTAGCCTAAGTAGTATCTGATCGTAAACTTTTTTTCTGTAATTTTTCACTCAAACACATATTGAGGTTCTGTCCATATTAGCAAATAGAGGTATTATTTTTAACTGGAATGGTTACCCATCGTCTGTATAACTATTTTTTTGATTGATGTTTAAATTGTTTCCATTTATTTGCTATTAAAACCAACATTGAAGGAAACATTCTGGACAGGTTTTCACATACATGCTGATGAATGTGTCTCTAGCATAAATGCTGAGAATGGGTTTAATTTTTGTAGTCTGTGCTATTTTCTTTTTATTATACTGTTAGTCACCATACAGTACATCATTAGTTTTTGATGCAGTGTTCCATGATTCATTGTTTGCGTATAACACCCAGTGCTCCATGCAGTATGTGTCCTCCTTACTACCCATCACCGGGCTAACCCAACTGCCCACCCCTCACTCCTCAGTTTGTTTTCCATAGTCCATAGTCTCTCATGGTTTATCTCCCTTCTGATTTCCCCCCCCTTCATTTTCCCCTTCTTTCTCCTAATGTCCTCCATGCTATTTTTCCTTTTAATAGATAACATTGAATTGCCTCCAACTGGGCTGCACCAGTTCTTGCTTTCAGGTTGTTGTATCTATTACTATTACTTCATTTATCGTTCTCTTAAAATCCTATACTCCTGTGTATGGGAGGAAAATATATTCTCTTATGGTTTCTGGCTGGGTCTGAAAATTAAACTAATAAAGCAGATTGAAGGAGAAAGTGTATAAAATTATTTAATACAAGTCTTACATGACAGTGGAGCCTTAATAAGGAAATAAAGACCAGTTAATAAAGAAACAGTTAATCCTAAGCCTTTTCATGCAATGTTCGATGAAGAACAGACAGTCATGGGAAGATATGATGGGGTAAAGAGTATGAGCAAAGTGTGATCAACTGGGAGAAACTTAGGCAGGTGAAGATTCAGATTCCTCTGCTTGTGTGTCCTTTTGTCCTCTGAAATAAGGATGCCCCTTCCCTCACACGAGGGAAGATCAGATAGTCCATCCTGCACATGCCCTTTCCTAAATTCCTCCAGCTTGAAATACTGATTATGCCAAGGTGTACCATATTTTGGGGATAGCATGTCTCAAAACCCATCATCCTATAGCACCGCTAGTGTTCTCGTCCATGTGCTGCTAAAGCAAGCATTTCACCCAGAGTGTTCTAAAAGTATCATACACCTCCACGTCTCCTTGCTTTTGCTTGTAATGTTACCAGCTTCTCTAACAAAATCTGAAGTGGCAGTTACAGCTGAGAAATATTATTAGGTAATTGGTTGTTAGGTAATTCATATTTTTACCAACTTTTTTTTTTCCAACTTTTGTCTCACATTCTTGGCAGAAATAATGAAGTGTTTTTCTTTGATTCTCATAGTATCTTAAACATATCTCTTTGTATAGCACTTGTGATGTAGTTTAGCTGTTAATGCGTCATACCAAGTAAATCAAAAGATCTTTGGGATCTGAGATCCTCTCTTTTAAGACTGAGATGCACCACCTACAGTGTCCTGGACAGGTGGTCCTGCTACATGTCTTTGACTTCAGGCAAAATTTCTCTCTCTTTCTCTCTTTTAAGATGGTAGATTAACAGTGTAATAATGTGATTGACAAGAAAGAAAACAAATTGTATCAGTCATTATTCAGAGTATTAGAATAAATTATACTGAAGTAGATGCCTCTGAGTGCTTTAACTTATGAATATTATTAAACACTGTATATGATTATTGATTCTGTGCTTTCCCTCACCAAGTAGGTTTCTGTATATATACATAATATATATTAGTATTTAAATATTCTGATATGAAAATGAATCATTGCCTCCAGCAGACCCATTATGAATGAATTCATATCTCAATTAAATTGAGTTGTAAACCACACAGTTGATTACCCCAAAGAGCTAATTTTAAATGCATATGACTCTTAATGGCTCCAATGGGAAGGCAACTCTTCAGGAGTGATGAATGTTTCAACTTTTAATTGAAATGAGGTTACCTAAGACATTAAGTTTACATAAGATGCTGTCAAAGATGCTGTGACTTTATAAATTTATAATTTGAACATTCTGGTCAAAACAGTCTTCTAAAATTAGATTGGAAGGTGGGACAGATGCAAATGAGCTTCTCTACACAAAGTATAGGATTGTAAGACATCTATGGTGTATTTTTAATAATTTGTTTTTCTGTAATTATAGTTGATTTTGGAAGCTACTGTTTTATCATCAAATGCTACTGTTGCTCTAGATGACATCAGTATATCCCAAGAATGTGAAATTTCCAATAAGTCACTTCTAGGTACCAGCATACTGAAGAAAGGTAAGTTTCTTCTTGCGGCCACTGAAGTTTTAAACATTGAAATAGTGAGTTCCTCCTGATACCAAAATTTAAAATATATTAGAGTCCTTCAGTAATACAGTCCATGAATAGCTAATACCAGGATGTGGATTCTATCACATATCCTTGAAAACTAAAACATACTTAAAAATACATATATATGTATATATATATATGAGCTATATCACAGCTTAGGCCTTATAGACTTTTCCAATAATATTCAATGCTTGTGACTAAAATTGTCACAGTTTTTTAGTTATAAGAAATATGAAAGAATTCTCATTATTTTGCATGTTTTAAAAACACTTCTATAAAAATTTAATTCTATTTTAATTTTATTTGGCACTTCTAATGAATATATAATGAAATTCATGTTCAGAATCACCTAGGACTTCAAAAAACTTACTGTGTTTGGAAAAGTGACTTAAGGCCGGCCAAACTTTTAAATCTTGATCCTAAAATTCTCTTTAAATTTAGAACATATATTTTCAAGTAACAGATGGAGTTTGGCCAGTTCTTTGACTAAATATTTTGTAGAGCATTTCAATTAAGAGGCCAAAAGATTGTCATAAAAATGAATCCCCGATAGTCAATTAGGCATTTTTGGAAAATCGAACCATTGTTTAGGCTCTGAGAATGGATTGCAACAGTGTGCACTGTGCCTACAGTTACCTGTCATTTTAACACTGATTGATCTTTCCCTTTGACCACTCCTACCCAGGAGTCTGTTAGTAAATAGACAATGTTAAAGATTTTGCCTGAAAATGATCACATTTTATTTTTCTTTATAGACATGAATGTTACTTGCATTTAGAAATCAGGCACGTTTTATAATCTGAAGTTACGTTTTATTAAAGAACATATGCAGTAAGTGGAAAAGTTGAATTCTTACATAAGCTAAATGCAGTAATTGAGGGTACTACAGCAGAAACAATTCTGGACTGAGAACTACATTGAAGAACTTCTAATTAGTAGTCTTTTAGTAAAGACCTCTTTCATTGGTGAGATTGTATAATTCTCTATACTAACTTTATATTGTCCTGTGTATTTACTTTAGTCAGAATATGTGTTCTGAATATAATAAACCGTTCTAAGCTCTGGGTATGTGTGTGGTTCTGATAGACATCAGGGAATGCAAAGCAGCAGATTTAATGATTGAGGGTTTTTTTTTTTAATTTAAATGAGTTTTTGAGGGTTAACCAGTGTTACCTTATTTCTGGTATTTAATTAAACATTTTCCTTTTCCTAATCAAATACTGCATCACCAGAATTGGAAGTTGACATTGAAGAGAATGTAACTGGAGGCAAGACTGTGGTTAAAAGTTTTAAATTATCACTAAAATCAACCTTAGCAGAAGTCTCTGAGAGTGCTTGATCTCATTTACAAAGAATTCTCTTCAGAAATTAAATCAAAACTCAGTCTGTGTGTGCTTTAATCCGAACTCCATCATAGTTGGGTAGAGCATAATTCTAATCAGACCAAAATTATATGAAGTTTTCCTGAAAGGTCAATTATTGTACACAAAAAGAGAGGAAAAAAAAAAGCTTTCTTACTGTTTTTTGCAAATTTGGCCAGTAGGTCATTATAAGATCTCCTTTGTAGAATTTAGTATTATCACCCAGCAGAAGTTTAGAATGGGACTGTAATAGGCTTTTAAAAAGTAAGCCAAATCCCACTGGTAATGCATTATGTTATACTTGTGGGGCAGAATGGCCAGAGATTCACCTAGATCCTGTGTTTGAATTAAAGCCTTTGAAGGCTTTAATCAGCATGCAAATGGCTGTAAGATCTTCAGTGCAATCCTCGTGCCTTCCTTATACATTTGAAGCACCATACACAGGATGAAAAGAGAAAACTACTCTGATTTGGTTTTTTGATCTAGCTTCTGTGTCTCTAGCATATTTAAAAACTAGTGTTCATAAAATAATTACACATTCTGTTTATTGAAGGGGAAGAGTGTGTTTTATCTCCTCCATCTCTTAATTTTGAAGGTGGATTTCTGTCACGTGAAGATGCAGGCTATATTTCATCCAGCAGATTCCTTGATTTTCCACCTGACTGCTCAAATGGAACAGATGAAGCCAATTTTGGTGAGCCAGTACTTTAATTACTTAGTCCCTTTAGTACTTAGTCATTGGCTAAAATTTATATCCACAGTGGTTCCCCCCACCTAATCCACGGGGGATACATTCCAAGACCCCCAGTGGATGCCCAAAACCACAGATAGTACCAAATCCAATGTACTCTATGTTTATTCCTGTATATACATATCTGTGATAATGCTTGATTTATAAGTTAGGAATGCTAAGAAATTAACAACAATAATAGAACAATTATAACAGTGTACTGTAATAAAAGTTATGTGAATGTAGTCTGTTTCTTAGAATATCTCATTGTACTTACTCTTCTTGTGATGATGTGAGTTGATAAAATGCCTGCCTGATTAGATGAAGTGAGATAAACAATTAGTTATTGTGACACAGTGTTAGGCTACTGTTGACTTAAAAAAAAAATAACTCCAGTATGTTAACGTACAGTGTTATATTAGTTTCAGGTGTACAATATAGCAATTCAACACTTATTTACAACACCCGGTGCTCATTAGGACAAGTGCACTCTTTAATTCCCATCACCTATTTCACTATCACTATTTCACTCCCTCCCATAACCATCAGTCTGTTCTCTGTAGTTGAGTGTGTTTCTTGTTTTGTCTCTATTTTTCCCTTTGTTCGTTTGTTTTGTTTCTTAAATTCCAAATATAAGTGAAATCATGTTATTTGTCTTTCTCTGATTGAATTGTTTTGCATAACATTATACTCTGTAGCTTTATCCATGTTATTGCAAATGCAAGATTTCATTCTTTTTTATGGCTGAATAATATTCTGTTAGTATCTCTAAACCACATCTTCTTTACTCCTCAATCGATGGATACTTGGGCTGCTTTCATAGCATGGCTATTGTAAATAATGCTGCTATAAACATATGGGTGCATATATCCCTTTATATTACTGTTTTTGTGTTCTTTGGGTAAATACCCAGTACTGGGATTACTGGATCATAGGGTAGTTCTATTTTTAGCTTTTTGAAGAACCTCCATATTGTTTTCCACAGTTGCTACAGGAGTTTGCATTCCTACCAACAGTGCACAAGGGTTCCTTTTTCTCTACGTCCTCATCAACATTTGTTTCCTGTGCTTTTGAGTTTAGCTATTCTGACAGATGTGAGGTGATACCTTGTAGTTTTGGTTTGTCCTTCCTTGATGATGAGAGAGATGTTGAGCATTATTCATGTACCTTTTGACCAGCTGGATGTTGTCTTTGGAGAAATGTCTGTTCATGTCTTCTATCCATTTTTTAATTGGATTACTTTTTTTTTTTTTTTGGTATTGAGTGTAAGTTCTTTATGTATTTTGGATACTGACGCTTTATAAGATATGTCATGTGCACATATTTTCTTCATTCAGTAGGTTACATGAAAAGTAAGACGACACAGGGAATAAACGTAAGCAAAGAGGTAAAAGACCTGTACTCTAAAAACTCTAAAACACTGATGAAAGAAGTTAAAGACAACACAAAAAATGGAAGGACATCCTATGCTCATGGTTGGAAGAACAAATATTGTTGAAATGTCTGTAGTATCCAAAGCAATCTGTAGATTTAATACAGTCCCTATGAAATACCAACAGCATTTTTCACAGAACTAGAATAAAAAATTCTAAAATTTATATGGAATCATTAAAGACCCCAAATAGTCAAAGAAATTTTTAAAAAGAAAACTGTAAGTATAATTCCAGACTTCAAGTTATATTGCAAAGCTATAGTAATCAAAACAGGATGCTACTGACACAAAAATAGACACATAGATCAATAGAACAGAATAGAAAACCCAGAAATAAACCAATGATTATATTGTCAATTAATCTTCAATAAAAGATACAAGAATATCCAATGGGAAAAAGATAGTCTCTTCAACAAAGGGAATTGGGAAAACTGGTCAGCTACATGCAAATAAGTGAAACTGGAAAACTGGACCACTTTCTGATACCACACACAAAAATAAACTCAAAATGGATTAAAGTCATAAATGTGAGACCTGAAACCATAAAAGTCCTAGAAGAGAGCACGAATTCTCTGATGTCTCTGGCATCAGCCAAAACAACACTTTTCTAGATACATCTTCTGAAGCAAGGGAAATAAAAACAAAAATAAAGTAATGGGACTACAGGAAAATAAAAAGCTTCTGTACAGCCAAGGAAACAATCAACAAAACTAAAAAGCAGCCTGGCATTGACCTTTTGACCATTCATCAGAGTAAGGATCATCTGCTCCCTCAGACAGTTGACCTTGGTTAACTGAAACCAGGGAGAGCAAAACCGCAGACAAGGGGGGACTACTGTACATATCTACTCTGAATATAAAGTACACACTACTCAAGTGAATATTTAATGAAGAGCACCAGAATGGAGACCGCTATAAAACTAAAATGACTTGCATTTGAAAGCAAACCAGATTAGCTTTAAAACAGTAGCAGAAAAATGAAGATCCCTCTTTCCTTCCATTTTGCTGTGTTGGAGTATAGAATTTAAAATAAATGCAATATAGAACTCAAAAGACAACAAGATTATATTATAAGTATTCCTTTATTCTTTGTGGATATATAAGAATGCTTACTCTTATTCTAAACGATTGCCACCCAAGTACAACTAATGGCAGAAGACTATATAATACTTAAGAATGCTCCTTCAAACTATAGTGTACCAGTAAATCAGTTGGTCATAAAACTATAGATCTTGGCTAGTTCGATATGTTTTTAAATTTTTAAGGGTTTCCTTTAAATTTTTCCTTTCTGAAGGCAGTGTATCCATCCGTTCTGCATTACCCTTACATGGCTCTAAAGTTATCCTACCATACCTGGGAAAATATTAAAGAAGGAAAAGAAGGGGATGGTGTTGGTGAACAATCTTTTGCAAAATTATTTAGATAACACCTGTGGAAGACACTGAAGTCAGGCAAGAGGGAAGCTTATAAGAATCTCACATTTTACTTATCACCCATATCTGAAATGAAATTCAAGTATTTTTACTCAAGACAGTATAGGGGCATGGACATTTTTATGAAGCTTGGTGGAGCATAGCATTGGAAAGGCTCAGCAATCCATGCAAAACGTAGGTCAGGATGGTGAGAAAAATCAGGGGCATTGTTGGGTTGTGATAGGTCGGCAACGTAGCCATGCTCTGGGTCCTCACAAACCTATATCGAGCATCTATCCTATACCAAGAGATTCAGTGAAGAATAAAATGTGATGATTTCCCTCAAAAAGCTTAGTGCATTGGGTGAGAAATACTTTGTGTATAATACTGTTGCTCTTTAATTATAATGCTAATAGAGGTGTAAAAGTGCTGTTACAAGAATTGGAGAATGTTCTTTAGAAGGTAGATAATTTCTCAGCAGGAATTTCTTTAAAAATGTTCTGTTTTTTCTTGTTAGAAGAATGATCTACTGAAAGTTCTGCCAGGGATTAACAGTTGTAAGCCTGTCTCTGCATACATTAAGACTGTTACTGGATGTACATGGTTTTAAGAACTTTATATGAACTCTGTAAAAATCAAAACCAGTCTAAGGGGTCAGTATTGTTGGCTTAATTTTACGGACTTTCTTAACAGTTAGTGTCCATTCAGGTGACGGAAACCACACTAGTAATTTGAACAAGAAAAATGTAATAAAAAGAATTACGTAATTTGAAAAAGTGGTTATCTACAAAAGAAAAGAACAGTAAAGAAAGGAATGGCAAATGTGGGGACCAGCTACTACTTCTAGTGCTGAGACAGACAATCCAAGGAAGGAATTGGTTTGAATGAGTGCACCCCACTCCCCATATCCCAACAGTGAGATTTATTTAAACTTTAGTGGAAAAAAATTAAAAAAAAAGAAAAGCTTTATTGGAGAGGGTGTTACTGGGATCCACTGGAAGGTAGAAAAAGTTGCTGGGGTGAGCTAGATTTGGTTAATAGCTCAGGTCAAGGGAGAAATTATCCACCAGGATATCTGCAAAACTCACTGAAGGGGCACTGTAACTGGGTTGTTTTAAATTGTTGGCAGTCATAGGGCAAAAGCAAAAATGAACAAGCAAACAAACCCAAGTATTTTGGAACCACAAAGAGAAGCTTCCAGAAGCTTCCTATTCTACTGTGCTTTGTGGTATCCATCCTATGCTGTCTACTAACAAAGCCAAACATTGTATGAGCTACTCAGAAATGTTTATAGAGTCCAGCATGGGAGGGAAGGGTGGACTTGGAGTTGGGACTAATAAATTCATTTATGTATTTATGTATTTATTTTAAAGATTTTATTTATTCATTTTTAATGTGCTTTTTTAAGACTTTATTTATTTATTTCACAGACAGAGATCACAAGTAGGCAGAGAGGCAGGCAGAGTGGGAGGGGGAAGCAGGCTCCCTGCCGAGCAGAGGGCCGGATGCTGGGCTCTATCCCAGGACCCTGAGATCATGACCTGAGCCAAGGCAGAGGCTTTAACCCACTGAGCCACCCAGGTGCCCCGAGACTAATAAATTTTATGATGTACATCTTTGCCTAATGTCAGGTCTATAAATGGTGGAACCCCATATTGAATCTAGGCTATCAGCCTCCCTACTCCACATTCTTAGCACACATCACACAGCCCTTTCATCCTCTCAGAGTCATCATTAAATTGAGACAAGCCAGAGATAAAGACTTCACTTTTGGAGGAGACATCATGCCCTTAGGCCCCTAGGATGTCAAATGGTTATTTTCCAAGGGTCATTTATCATTGGAATGGTAAATGCTATCTACAGGTCTGATGTTCTTTTTTCCCCCTTCAGTTGTATTGAGAAATAATTGACATGCATCATGGTAGAAGTTTAGGGCATATCACTTGAGGGTTTGATTTTCATATATCGTGAAATGATTACCACTGTGGGTTCAGCTAACATCCATCTTCTCATACAGATGCAATAAAAAGAAAGGGGGAAAAAAAAAGGAAAACAGTATTCTCTTTGTGATAAGAAGGCTGAGGATTTACTTTCATAACAACTTCCGTATATATCATACAG